GCAATGTTGTCTCTTGTATAAACTTCACTGTCTTTTGTAATACACTAAGTGAGCCTTGAAGTTTGACTCCCGCCGATATTTCTCTTAGCCAAAAGTTTTGACTTGAAGTGTTGCATTTGGGACAGTCTTGGAGGACGTGATCTGTTGCCTCAGGTGCTTTTCCACAGGTACACAATGTCTGATTTCCCAATTTGAAGTTTTGTGTACATGTGGCTGCGAAGTCCATTGTATCCTGTTCTAAGGAGTAGAATAATGACTTGTTCTGGTCTGTCCCTGAAATGGTAATCGTCTTGTGCCTTACACACAGTGAGGTCACAGGAGAGTCACAGCAAAATGACTCTGAGAACTGTAGTTGTTTGAATGGAATATCTCTGTGAACGTACACTTCTCATTACATGCATGATTCCAGTTTCAGACAAGTCAAACGAGGAGCTGAAGGCCGACTTTCTGTGTGAGCTGGCATTGATGCAGACCATCCCGCCGCATGTGAACATCATCACTCTCTATGCCAGCTGCACTGCTCATGGTAGGACATCCTTTTTTCTTCATCCCCCTCATTGCCATCGTTATCTCAATAACCTTTAGTAATACTTCTACAAGGAGTCGTCATAGCATAGAGGCTAGACGCTCATCATGCGGATCGGAAGGTCAGGGGTTCGCTCCCTGTTGGAGCCAGACTTTTTTCAAAAATGACCTTGACTCCCAGGTCGACCCATTCTTGAGTGGGTGCCGTGTGCAGTCCCAGGAGGTAAAGGCGGCCGGAGTGATGCTGATCACATCACCCATCTTGTGTCGATTGGTTTAAAAATCATTTTAGGTCTAGCCCTATATGCCCTATACGCCTAAAGGCGTGGAAAAGGGACCTTTACTTTATAAATTTCTTTTACAAGTTTTTTTTTTGAATTTGTATTATTATAAATATTATTATTATTATTATTTTGCAGATTAAAATTGTACAGTCTCAAAGATACATTTGGGTTGCAATGTCTTCTGTGCTGCCTCTGGGAATGATCAGTTGTGAGGGCTCAATTTCTTTCATGGTCCGACACTCAAACCACTGTCTGAAGGCATAAAGAACTGCCTTTTTCTCAAACACCAATCATGGCAATTTAACCTAGATAAATGGCCATTACTTCTATGCCACAGGGCCGTAAATTATTTCTATTGTTGTTGTTGTTGTTGCTATGATTATTATTACAAAATGTAGACCTCAACATTGGGGTGTTGAAGCCTAGGAAATTTAAAATTGGGGTCCCAAACCAGATGTGTTTGCCTTGACTGTGTTATCTTCGCTTTTGTTTATAATACCCTTAAAGTTATGTATCTGCATGCTTTTTATCTGGCTGTCAGTGAATTTGTTCATTTTTGCTCCAACTTAATCATATAATTTGCTTTTGTTTCCTTCCTACCTTCCTCCTCCTCCTCCCTCTCTCTCTCTCCCGCTCTCTCTCTCTCTCTTCTTCCCTCTCTCTCTCTCTCTCTCTCTCTTCCCTCCCCCCCCCTTCTATCTCATTCTCTCCCTGCACATCTTTTTCCATTAACACCATCCTGTCTTTCATATCAGACTGCTTGTGTTTAATATGAATGCTTTGCCTATTAAATCATGATTTGTTTGTGAATCTTTAATATGGTCCTTTACTTTGCAAATTGTTACGTACATGTGTGCTTGAGTTTATGCTTGAATGTACGGGCAAGACCGGCTCCAGCTGACGAGCCATGCTGCTGACATCACGAAACCGGGCTAACGATAGGTAAACGCAGCATTTCTTAAACAGTTTTCATCAGGCAAAAAGAAATTTTGCGGCAAACGTACCCTTAGAGAGGTTTGAATACTTAAAATATGAAGAAAAAGAAAACAGTGCAAATTTAGTGTCAAGCAGTTATGGAAAAATGGGGGATTATTGCCGCAGTACCCCTGACATTTGCTTGCAGTATCCAATTTGAGAATTGCTGCATTAACGTATCATTAGCCCGGTTTGGTGACGTCAGCAGCATGGCCCTTCAGCTGGTGCGGGTCTTTGTATGAGTATGCCATTGTGTAAATTTGCACATGTGCATGTGAGTAGGCATGCTTGCGGCAGAAAGAAAACTGTAAAATGTAATATAGAAACTTAGAGACAGTTGTACACTAAGCTGAGAACCACTGATGACCCATGGCATTTGACCTCTGCCAGATCCATATCTGATGATTCTGGAGTATGCCAAACATGGCGACCTGCGCAAGTACCTCCTGGAGCATCGCATGGAGAGGAACTACGCCAACGCCGCCTTCAGCGCCTACGGTGTCAAGAGGGAACGGCATTACGCCTCGGCCGCCTGCGCCATGTATGGTACAGCCAACAAGAAAGACAAGTTTGAGGGCAACATTTATGCGTAAAGATTAAGTTTTCTCTGTGTTATGTCTTAATAATTTCATAATTGGCACCTTACCGTCTTTTCAGATGACAGTGTTATATTGCACTATGAGAGGGCATGGGATTTACAACCCATGGTGACTGTGACTTGCAAGACTAGTGTTATGTCTTAAACACACAAACACACATGCATGTGTGTATGCAAACATATGAAGACATCATCATCAAGGTCATCATCTGTATATTTTTCTTCAGCTACTTGCTCTTCTACATTGTGTGTGTTCCACAGCCGCATTTGGAGGTGAGGGTTGGGGGAGGGGGGATGGTGAGGGTTGGGGGAGGGGGGATGGTGAGGGTTGGGGGAGGGGGGATGGTGAGGGAATTGACCAACAGCCCCCCTAGCAAGCATACCATAGACTGCAAACAGTTAGGGGTATTTGTCTCCTTTGAAGTTAGATTTCATCTGTCTGAAAGGTGAGAGGCCAACAGTGTGTGTTCAAATAAGCCAGATGTGCAAACGGATTTACATGTGGAATAAGAAAAACTCCAGACGTGGACGAACAACTAGAACTTTACATAACGAGTTCACAACCAGTCAGACTAAGAAGAACCAAGATCCTTACCTAAGATTCCTCAATGGAAAATATACCAAAAATCCTGTCTGTCTATCTGTCTGTTTATATATCTGCCTTTTGTCTGTATGCACATGATCATGTCTCTCTGTCTATCTTTCTGTCTATCTGCCTGTTGTATTGATGTTGTTTGTATGCCCACATCATGTCTGTCTGTCTATCTGCCTGTTGTAATGATGTTGTCTGTATGCCCATGATCATGTCTGTCATTTTTCTATCTGTCTGTCTATCTGCCTGTTGTAATGATGTTGTCTGTATGTCCATGATCATATCCATCTATCTTCTATCTGTTTGTCTATCTGCCTGTTGTAATGATGTTGTCTGTATGTCCATGATCATATCCATCTATCTTCTATCTGTTTGTCTACCTGCCTGTTGTAATGATGTTGTCTGTATGTCCATGATCATATCCATCTATCTTCTATCTGTCTGTCTACCTGCCTGTTGTAATGATGTTGTCTGTATGTCCAAACAGAGTCCCTGGTGAGACACAGTATTCAGAAGAAGAGGATAATTTGATTACATCACGTGACCTGTTGTCCTTCGCCTTGCAGATCTGTCGTGGTCTGGAGCATCTGATCAGGAACAGGGTAAGTTTATCTCAGGGTAAAGGTCGTCTCAGTGAACCCATACAGGGTAAAGGTCATATCAGTGAGCCCATACAGGGTAAAGGTTGTCTTAGAGAACCCATACAGGGTGTAGGTTGTCTCAGTGAACCCATACAGGGTTAAGGTCATCCCAGTGAACCCATATAGCATTTTTAACTGTTATCATCAAAGTAAAAGATACTCGCATGCAGATTGAAGGTCATGGGTTCGCTTCCTGGCAGAGCCAGACTTTTCTCAAAAAATGACCTTGGCTGCCAGGTTGACCCAGCCTCGAGTAAGTAACAGGTGCAGACCTGGTAAGTAAAGGTGGCTGATGTAATGCTGACCACATTGGCCACTAAGTGCTGATTGATCTATAAAATATACATCTAGCCCTATATGCCCAATACACCTGAAGGCGTGGAAAAAAGTCTTTTTTTTTTAAAGTATACATGGAAATGTGAATATACAGACAAATAGTTGTATTTCAAGAAAACAAACACAATCCAATACAGAGGTTCTGAAAAGTCTGCAAATAAAAAGACAATTATTGAAATAAATTTTTTTTTTTTAAATTTACAACAACAACAAAAAGAGACAGTTGAAATATTTTGGCTGCATTAAAAGACACAGTACACCTTTAGAAGCCATACTTGAGGGAAAGTTTGAGGGCTACAGAGCAAGATGTAGGCAATAGTACAAGTGGGAGGACAACATTAGGAGATAGACCAACAGCAGTCTGAGAGAGTGTACAACAAAGACAGGAGACAGAGAATGTGGGAGATTTATTGCAGCAAACTTTCATTATGGAGAGAACACCTGATTGATTGATTGATTGATTGATTGATTGATTGATTGATTGATTGATTGATTGATTGATTATAAAAGAAGTATTAAATGAATACATACATGAATGAAGCATTTAAACATGTTCAGAAATGTTAAAAAATTTAGCTTTACTTAGTACACTTCCATAGGGAATTTTCAAAATCAAAAATGGCAGTGAGAAAAACTCACCAACTATATATGAAAGTTTTAAGAACTCAAAAGCTTGATGAATAGAAAACAGAATTTAATTTGTCCTGTTTTATATTCAGACGTTTTAAAATGTGATGATCACCAAACCTCACAGTGGCGGCCATGAAGAATGGTTGTACCAAGTCGTTGAAGCTACCATCGCAAGTCGAGTCCCATTTCACTGGATGAAACTCCAAATAATTCGAGTCACAGCAGTTTAATTATGCGATTTAAGTCACACTTGAGTCCAAGTTGCATAACTCTGGTTTCTATGTATTAAGTATTACTTTTATTTATGCATCAGACATGAGGTAACAAGAAAAAAAAAGCAACTTTTTTTGTGTACATATTAGCTACGACATTTTGGTATGTAAAGTTTAAAATATTTCTCCTTCCACTGCTGTTGGCAGATTGTTCACCGTGATGTTGCTGCTAGGAATGTCCTCCTCTTTGATCGCCACATTGTCAAAATTTCCGACTTTGGTTTGGCCAGAAAAATTGGCCAGGGTGATGTCTATGAAAGGACAAGAAAGGTAAGTCATAAAAAAGGGCGAGAAAGGTAAGTTAAAAATAAAGAAGAAAAAAGTAAGCTACAAATAAAGAAAAACAAATGTAAGTTACAAAAAAAAAAAATTACAGTGTGTTATTTTACTACTTATTATTATTGCTCACTGTTTATTGCAAATTGCACCACTTGTTTTACATGTGTGAAAGCTACCAGTTACTAGTAAATGCTAGCTGTGCATGCCTACTCTCAACAGCGAAGCTACGCAGAGGACAGTTTAAAGTGATACTCTCTCCACATGCAAACTGACCATTTTCGCCACTGGATATAATCTGTATGTGGTGCTTGTCTTTTTTTAATGAACCATTTAGCATCATGTGGTGAGAATAGAAGCACTGGGAAATATCGCGACGACTTAAAAGATCACTGGTAGAAGAGGCAGAGGCAGACCAAGAGAGTTGGTGGTGGTTGGTTTAAGGGGTCACTACACCAAAAATTTTTTTTTTTTAATTTACAGAGTTAGAGCAGTTATTTTATAATGATCATTTGTAGGGATACATGTTATTACAGTTGTATACTTTAAGTGTTAAAAAAATCATAGCTGTCATCCCAATAGCCGCCATCTTGTAAAAAAAAACAATATGTACTTAGAATCCTAAAATTTTATAAACAAACATAGTTATTCAACAATAGATCATAAATTCATCACTATTTATCTTTTTTAGAGGTACAGGTCTAGTTTATTTACTTTAAACATGTTTGTAAATATTTTTCTTAGAATTTTAAAATTTAGGTTTATTGAAAAAGTCAAAAAATCTAGCAGCATAAGACAATAATCAAATTTTAAAAAACAAAAACTTTCAAAAATCTACTTTTAGATAGACCAGTCCTTATAATATTGTTTATGGAGTATGCATACAAAATTTCATGTTTCTACTCCTTACATTAGCTTAGATTTAAGGATTTCACACACACAGCAAACTGAAATATAGAGATTTGAGAAAACTGACTTTTAGACTTTTTTTAATCTTAAAAAAGTGCATGAGGTGGTGTCGTTAGTATTAGCTTTTCAATGCTAAATTGTTTACAAAGGACATACATTTTGTTGTCATCTATTCTACAAATGCCGAACTTCACAAAAAAGAACACATTGAAAAAGTGAAATTTTTGTCATAAATTGGAAAAAATGCAGTGTAGTGACCCCTTAAGACAGTGGCATGGAGGAATATCATCCGTAGAATTGATCCAGAACACCAAAGACCGAGATCTGTGGAGATGCATGAATGCCTACGCCAGCTGGTAGGGCACTTGATGATGATGGATTCAGCATTCAGTGAGTGATACTTTAAATGGTATTTAGGTGACTTTATTTCCAAGAGCATTTACTTGAACTGTTTTGGACTGGCACACCCAGAGCATAGAAGTCAGTTTGTCATGATGAGATTCGAACACAAAATCAGCAGACCAGCAAGAAAGTTTGCATGCCACTGGGCCAGCAAGGTCTACATAAAGGATAAAAACCATTTCATGTTTAAGTTCGGATCAGATGTTTAATGTTAACATTTCCTGCTAAATAGTTTACCTTTACAATGATAAGTAAAGAGAAAGTAAAGGATGTTTTTCACACCCTTACGCGTATTGTGCATGTAGGGCTAGACGTATATTTTATAGACGGATCAGTACTTGGTGGGTGATGTCAGCATCAGGCCAGCCACCTTTACTTCCCAGGACTACACCTTTGCAGTGATCCCATGAGAAAAAGAAAAGGGATAAGAAGGTGAAAAAAGGTGAATAGAGGAAAAGAAGGGGAAGAAGTAGAGTGGTCTCGATTTATGGTGTCCACCTCAAGTTCTGGAGGTCCCCAGTTCAAGCTCCGGTAAAGGCTGAGATTTTTTCTCGTGGACTTTAGTAACTCCCCTGGTCTCTGGGTAGTGAGATCGGACGCGCATGTGTATTCTTGTGCACAAACAAAACCCCTTGGCAGTTGGAAATTGAAAAGAGTGGCCTAAGGTGCTGCCCAGGCAAAATTTGGAGTTTAAAATCTACCCAAAGTATTTCAGGATCCTCGCCAGTGCAAGGGAGTTGGTGCACTGTGCTGAGCTTCTTTTGACTGAGGCTTAAGTTAGAAGTAGAACAGAGCACTTATGGGTTAAATCAGTGTGCCATAATATTGATCCGTCAAAAAAACAAGAATACAACAGAATACAAACAAGGAATATTGTGTTGGATTTAAAGAAGCCTAAAACAGAAAACCGACAACGCTACACTTCGTTTACTGACAAACAAAGAGCAGAAAAAAAAATAAACAACTTCCTGTACTGTCTTTTGCTGTGTTCCAGGGACTACTGCCTATTCGATGGATGTCTCCTGAGTCTTTGTTCTACAATCAGTTCACAGAAAAGTCTGACGTCTGGTCATATGGAGTGCTACTTTGGGAACTCATCACATTGGGTAATATATTTGTTGTCTGTGTTTGGATTCACCTGCTGGTGGAAGGTCCTGGTTCTACATCCATTTCTGGATTTTGGCTTTGTTCCTGGACTTGAGTTTTTCGAGTTTATCCTTTTTTTATATCTGGCTTTTTTGTGTGCATCTGTTTTTTGTGTTCCCCAGGCTGATGCACTCCGACTTCCAAAGAATACATATTGTGAGTGTGTGTGCATGCATGCTAGGGAAATAATTACTGCAATTCACATTGTTTGGTAATTAGTTAGGAGCCACAGTGTTCTAGCGGCTAGACGCTTGGATGCGGATTGCAAGGTCATGGGTTCTGTTCCTGTCGAGGGCTGGCTGTTTTTAAAAAATAACTGGGTAGCAAGATTGGACGCCCGTTTGTATTGTTGCCCATGTACAAAAAATAAAATTGGCAATAGAAAATCAGAGTAGCCTAACCGGGCTGCCCGGGCAAAGTTTGGAATAAAAAATCTGCTCAAAATATTTCAGGATCCTCGCCGGTGCTACAGAGTTCGTGCACTTCAGACTCAAACTTGAGTTAGAAGTAGAATGGAGCACTTATGGGTTACTACCCTTGTGCCATGATGTTGATTCGTCTTTCAAGCCAAACCTGGCTCAACTCATAGTTTTATTTTATTGTTGTTTTTGTTGTTGTTCTTTCCAGTTGTACCACTGAGTGCGCACCTTGTAATGATGCATACACATTTATTAGTTTCTATAGAGTGTTCTTTTTAACCGTATTAATTGTCCTCACTTAGGATCCACTCCCTACCCAGGCTTGGATGCGAACACAGTCCTGGAAAAGATCAGAGAAAGGGATCTACTTGTTTGTCCGCCTCATTCCGCAACCATTGTGTAAGCAGAGTTCTCCTGTTGTAAATGTGCATGTACATTTGTACAGAAAGTTTTGTAGCAAGTCTCATACATGTATTTGAAAGACAAGGGAAAACCATCACACTGCTATTCTAATTAAAAAAGTTTGTGCTGTATTTACCCTCAGCAGAGATGTGGTTTGTGAGAAGTATGCAAAGAAAATCATGAAAAGATAGAGAAACAAACAAAGCAGTGTTCATCAAGACAGAGGAAATTCGTAAGTAAGACAGCGACAGTCATTATTATGAGAAGGAGTGGACTCGAAAACTTGGTAACAACTAGAAATATTGACAGAAATAGAGAAAGATGAAGACAGAGATAAAAATCGTAGAAGGCCTGGCCGGATGGAACAGGCTTGTCAAAAACATTGAATTCATTCAAGATTTTGGTGATCATGTGATATTACGAAATGTGATAGCCTACACTAACCTGACAATAATGATGATACTGTTATAAAGTCTGATTTATATGGTGGCATTCAAATTGTCTACGGGCTGAATTACCCTCGCGTGACTTGATATAACATTGCTACAAGAGTATTACCCTGTTAATTTGTCAACACCAGTGCCGCATCTATGTTAATCTAAATAAGCTTCATCTTCGGGCCTCACATTATGAAGGGGCCTCAAAAGATTCCTATTTTTGTTCACAAATGCAATGTCTTTTCAGTATTTTTTTAATGCAGTTTTTCTTTTCATATATTTGAAAATTTTATTTACCCAGAAATTTTGTAACATTATTAACATTATTTTGAATATATTATCTCAGTCATGTATTTCCGGTGTGTTGGGAAATGAACAGGGGGACAGACTGGCTGGCTCTGCATAACTTGATAGAATACTGATGCATGATAAGGCAGGCATAGTTAGTACCTTGTAGGATAGCGTGTACAGTTTGGAGGAGCAGATGGATCACCAGTCTGCTGAGATTGATGCAGGGGGGAGTGACGACAGGTTCTGGCAGATGCTCGAGGCTCAGATAAAGGACAAGATGGACGTTTTATCAGAATGCTACTGGCACCATTAGTACTGGAACTCTTCACTAGCTGCTGAAGATGGGGATGGAGAGCTTGTGGGAATGCCCCGAGTGCTGTGATGTCAGTTCTTGAATCAACTCAACTTAACTCAGTCATGTATTCAAACTTATTGCAGCCCTTTTAAGGGTGTATATATTTTAAAGTTTTCTGAGAATAATTGGCATAATTTACAATGGTAGGGATCTCAAGGATTGAACTCTAGTTGTGAAGGACAACAGCTACAGAGCTGTCTGGTGCAAAGTTCGGTCTTTAGCCTGCGCGCGTAGAGGCTAGCATGTTAGGAAGCTTGTTACCTGCAGATCCTTGGTGGAATGAGCAGAAATACTCCAGAGTCTGAAGGAGATATTTCAATCTAACTGAGCCACTCAAACAAAAGTCACTCTAATGGACCTTGGGAATCAAGTATTTAAAAAATAAAAGACCCTTTTTCACGCTTTCTTGTGTATTGGGCATACAATCTCTTCTTATTTCTTTGCGTTCACCAGCTGTACACTCTGGCGGAAATTTCTGGTTGCTCGTCCACTACTGAACTGCAATCCTGCTCCAGAACCTGAGTGTTGCGTGTGCATCAGTTTTACAGATTCTCTTGAATACAGACTGTTGGTTCCTTGCCTCTCCGGCAGATGAACTCCGACTTCAAAGGAAGCTCCCCAATTAGATGGCTCTTACGACATCCTTTTGGGGAGGCAGTGGGTCTATTCTTGTTTTCCCCTACAATGGGGCCCCGGAACCCACACGGGGTGGGCATATAATGCTATAGCTGTATTTCATAGGCCAATCAGTGCTCAGCTGATGTTGTGGTCAAAATCACGCCAGCCGCCTTTACTTCCCGGAACTTTACTCGGTATCCACCCAAGAAAAATCTGACTTCATTTGGATTTGAGCCCAAGAGCTTCCAGTCTGCAGGCTAGCATCTAGCCACTACAACACAACGGCTCCCCATAGATTTAAAAGAGACAACAAACATTGGAAATTAAACAGTTAGCTTCAAGTGAAGCAATCGCAAAATGAAGGGATGACAATGTCCTGAACAATTAGTCACTTTTCTAACAACAACAACAAAATGGTTAAACCAGAGTGTTATAATACAATTAAATAGTGTTCTAACAACAACAATAAAATGATAAAATGACATTGTTCTAACATAATTAAACAGTGTTCTAACAACAACAACAACAACAAAATGATAAAATAACATTGTTCTAACATAATTAAACAGTGTTCTGACAACAATAGCAAATGATAAAATGACATTGTTCTAACATAATTAAACAGTGTTCTGACAACAATAGCAAATGATAAAATGACATTGTTTTAACATAATTAAACAGTGTTCTGACAACAATAGCAAATGATAAAATGACATTGTTCTAACATAATTAAACAGTGTTCTGACAACAATAGCAAATGATAAAATGACATTGTTCTAACATAATTAAACAGTGTTCTGACAACAATAGCAAATGATAAAATGACATTGCTCTAACACAGTTAAACAGCCCTCAACCACGTCAAGCCAAGTGATTCTTTCTTATGGTATGCAGCTCACCACATGTTCTCCCCACATTCTCCCCACTCTTTTAAATTCAGTCTCTAGCTCCCTTCTTCATGTCTTTTAGTCTGCATTTATTTCTTTGCCCCTGTGGGTTCCACTGCAAAGACAGTCTAGTTTACTGTTAGGTATCACAATAATAGGTGTTATAAAGTCACTGTTCTTTTTTTTCTTTTTTGCTTTGCTTCCAGGAACAACATTGTCTACAGCTGTTGGAGAGAGGACCCCAATTCACGACCCACCTTTGTCCAGCTGTGTCAGGAGCTGGAGCAGCTTCTCGAGGCCGAGGTGGAGTACGTGGACCTGGACCAAATGAACGATCACGAGTACTCAACCCTGGATGGTCTGGAAGACTGATCCCCAGGAAAGTTGTCAAGATCAGCGAGAGCTTCTTCTTTGTCTTCTTCTGAGTGTTCACCTGCTGTAACTTCTCCAGAAGGCTATCATTTCTGGACTTTTGTCTTGTTGAAGAACCCAGTTTTTGCATGCATGTCTGTTTTACAGATATAGCTTATTTCTATGCAGACTATTGGTTCCTCACCTCTCAGATAGATCCTTTCCTACTTCTAAGGAAACTCCCTTAATTAACTGCTTTATTTGACATGTGTGTTAGAATGGCAGCATGCCTAGAAGGTAAATACAGACAGTAGTGAGAGTTTTGACTGTTGCTGTGGTAAGTTCTGGCTCTGTGACAGCAGTCCCTCATGCTGTGGTAAGTCTTCTGGCTCTGTGACAGCAGTCCCTCATGCTGTGGTAAGTCTTCTGGCTCTGTGACAGCAGTCCCTCATGCTGTGGTAAGTCTTCTGGCTTTGTGACAGCAGTTTCCAATACTGTTGAATACTGAACCTGGGAATTTCATCTGTGTGCGGTTTTAAAATAGTAATAAACATTACAAGACAAGAGCAGACTTTGACAAAAGCAATTCTTCTGCCTGTTCATTTGTTTGACTGGAGGTTATATGTCTGTACTTCTAGCTTCTGTTATCACTGTCCATAATTTGTCAACTTAGTTTTGTTGAACTGTTTTTGTAATGTGTTCAAAGAGAGCCACCATGGTGTCGTGGGTAGAAGCTTGCCTGCCGATTTGAAGCTTGTGGGTTCGGGTACTAACGGAGCCGGACCTTCTTTTTTTCTTCTTTTAAATTACCTTGACTCCCAGGTTGACACAACCTTGAGTGGGAACCAACTATAGTCCTGGGAAATAAAGGCCACCAGGTTAATGCTGACAACATCATCCACCCAGTATAGATTGGTTTATAAAATATAGATCGAGTCCTATATGCCCAATATGGCTGAAGTTGTAGAGAAAGGTCATTGACTTTACCAAAGTGTTTGATGCATATTTTCCTAACCTCTCCCAGCAAAGACTGTGGATCTGGCCCAAGGGAGCCACATTGCAAGAGAAGCTATGGGGCGCCAGTGGCGACCTTAAACGCACAATCCTATTTGTGACCGAAACGGGACTCAATGTTTTGCATGACTGATGTCGAACGCAGAAGAAGAAGAAGAAGAAGAGATGCATATTTTAGGATACTTTTGTTGACTAATTTATTTACACATTCATATGATTTTTTTTTCAATAAAATTTAAAAAAAATAAAATAGTAAATAATACATCATTATTATCCATCTCGCGCCCCCACCTGTCGCGTGATTCACGTGACCTGATTTCGCTCATTACTGTGGCATACTTTCCTTGCTTTGATCACTTACTAATGGCCTGTTTCTCTCAGACCTGCCCACTTACTTCAACAAAGAAAGAAATATAGTAGTTTTTCTAGACTCCAGTTGTGAATTTGACACTGACAGTGATAGCTCATTGTGTTTTCTGTAGCGATAATAAATCCATTGCATACATGGAAAGAGAAGAAGGACGTAGAGCACGTGGTAGACCACGAACAAGATGGAAGGATAACATCAGAGAAACTCTACAACAGCACGATGTGCCTATGGTCGAGGCGGCCAGAAGAGCTAGAAACAGAATCTTATATCTCCCTCAACACACAAGAAGAAGAAGAAGAAGAAGTGACGGCTGCTGCTTCTTCTTCTTCTTTTCGCTGTCTCTGTCAGTAGTTTCTAGATCACATAGATACAAATCTCCATGAAGGCTGTGGTGTGAGGTTGACCATGATATCTTGACCTGGAAATGGGACAACCCACTAATGTTTTGAGCTTTAAATGGGACAACCCACTAATGTTTTGAGCTTTAAATGGGACAACCCACTAATGTTTTGAGCTTTAAATGGGACAACCCACTAATGTTTTAGGCTTTAAATGGGACATCCCACTAACATTTTCAGCTTAATATGGGACATGCCAGTAATATTTAAAATGAAAACGAAAAACATTACTAAATGAATGAATCAGTAAAGAATTCACATCACT